ATTTTGGGAATTGTAGTATAATGTTTATATGGCGCTAGAAACTATTAAGTGATTGGTTTTTATTCGAAAAAACTAACGATAACTTATAGAGCTTGAATTGCAAAGTTATCGGTTAGAATATTTAAAAAAACATCGTGCAAAGAGTTTAAACGATTGAAATTTAAAGCAAATCGTGTAATCAGAAATTTTAGATCTCTAGCACCGTAATTTATCGTAAATTTTATTTAAACTGAAATTTAATTTAATTGAAATTTAATTGAATTTGAAAATTTTCAGAATACTCTTGTCAATACATTATTTCGAACTTATGGTAGTGATCATTTGAAAAAAAAATATTTACCGAAACTTGCAAGTGATACAGTAAGAATTATATTTACTTCTAAGTTATTCATAATATCCTTATACATTTAGACCATTAATAATTATATTTTAGGTGGGTTGTTTTTGCCTTTCCGAAGCTGGTGCTGGTAGTGATGCTTTTGCACTGAAAACGCGTGCTGAAAAGAAAAACGGTCACTATGTTATTAATGGTTCGAAAATGTGGATCACAAATTCAGCAGAAGCAGAAATCTTTCTAGTTTTTGCTAATTTAGGTATTTAATTTCTTAATCTGAATTATATATTCAAGTGGTAAAAGATGAATCATTGTAAACGTATATTTCATTTTTTAGATCCTTCCCAGAAATATAAAGGCATAACGTGCTTTGTTGTAGAAAAGGATATGGGTATTAAAGTTGCAAAGAAGGAATCAAAGGTTTGTTTATAAATATCCTTAATAAAACACATGATATCATTAGATCCTTATTCAGATATATTAACATTTATTTTACAGCTTGGTATTAGGGCTTCATCGACATGCACTTTGAATTTTGACGATGTAAAGGTATTATCAACTCTTTATGGTTACTTTCGTGATTATTAGTTAAATCAGACCTATCAACTATTCTTCTTAGGTCCCTGAAGAAAACTTACTTGGAGAGGAGTTTAAAGGTAATCATAATTTGACGCTCACAAGGAAATTTAATATACATATTTCATTGAGACTTATTTTTTAGGTTACAAGTACGCTATCGAAATCTTGAATGAAGGTCGAATTGGAATAGCAGCTCAGATGATAGGTCTAGCTCAAGGCGCGCTTGACCACGCGCTACCTTACTTATTCCAAAGAAAAGCCTTTGGATCCTTTATTGGCGATTTCCAGGTATATGTCGGGTATTTAACTTTTAATACACCTAAAGATTTCTTACTGAAATAATGTTTACACATCTGTTTATTAGGCAAATCAACATCAATATGCGCAAGGTTATTAAAAATATATAATTTTTATTTGTTATTATCAGTTAAAATAATTATGTTTGTGGATTACAGCTGCTACTGACATTGAAGCGGCTAGATTATTGACATATAATGCTGCTAGATTAAAACAAGAAGGAAAAGATTTTATTAAGGAAGCTGCTATGGCCAAGCTATACTCATCTCAAGTTGCAGAACGGGTCTGTTTAATATTTTAAATATATATATATGTTTTTTTTTTATATTAATTTTAATAGTTATATTGACAATATCATTACTAAATAGGTTGCGTCAAGAGCGATTGAATTAATGGGAGGTGTAGGGTTTACTAGAGAATTTCCAGGTAAGCTTTTTAATTTTCTTTAACTTGTAACGAAGACGTCAACTAATTCCTGTCTGTTATAGTTGAGAAATATTATAGAGATGCAAAAATTGGTAAGATGGTTTCTTATAAACATCAGTTGATAGACTTTATTTGCTAAAACACATATTTTTTTGCTATATTTGTAGGTTCTATATATGAGGGTACTTCAAATATTCAATTGACGACCATTGCAAAATTAATTTCTGCAAACTATAAAGCCTAAGTTTGAGTAATATTGGCTTAAGAAACCTCCATGTGATATGGAATACATTAAAGTTAGATAATTCATAAATTGACTTCTTTAATTTATATATTTTTTTAAAGGTTCAGAGAAATAAAACATTAAATTTTTGTCATTGGCACCTGGGTGATTTTTGTGCCCAATAGTGAGTGTAGTTGATTTGGCATTAGCCGATAAAATCGAGTTAGCAGACTAAGGTTGTTCTCAAGTATTAATCGAGATATTCAATCATTTCGATTATTTCGGTTTGCAAAATTTTGTAAATTTACAGATCATCAAAAATAAAAAAGAAATCGATTGATTTCCGATTTCTGATTTCTAATTATATATATATATATTTTGACATTTACTAAAAACACATCTATGGTGTTTTACATCTATGAATATATTATCTCAAAAACTAGCGAACTAATCAGTGCGGGTGTTCTAAGTAAAAATGGAAACTGTGGCTCCATATGCCTCGAATGTAACAATCCGTACCGATGATGCTCCGAGACTACAAGTGCGAATTGTTAGAGTACCGACCTCTCTACGGTGTCCCAAGTCAAAGAAGTTTTTTTCCCATGTAGTTTTATTTAGATATGCTAATTAGATAAATTTAAAGCAGAGATTATTTATTAAGTATTATGTAATTTTTACAAGCCTGATATTGACTTATAATTGTTACTATCTGGTGTGGATAAAAAATTTCACTTTTTTTTCATTTTTCCCTTACCTTCTTTTCTTGTTTGTAATTTTTACTGTATTGTATTTCTCTATATCTCTGTATTTTTTTTTATGTAATTTTTTCTTTTTTTTATTTTTATATGAAAAAATATTATCAAATTGATGGTATCTTATTGTAGAGCAGTGTTGAGTTAGTTATGGTTTTAATTAATTGTAATTAGAGGTTAGGGTTTGCAATTGTCTAAACCTATATTTAGCTTGTTAAATTATGAGTTCAGTTCAGATTTAACCTAACTAATTATGTGTTTAAAAATCTAGGTCTGGTTTAGTCTATTAAATTATAAGCCTAGCTCAGACTTAATCTAATTTATTATGGGTTTAAAAATTTAGGCCTGGGTTTGGTTTAAACTTAGTCTAACCCACAAATTACTGGATTTAACCTAGCCTATTGTAAGCTCTATAAATTTAATCAAATCAGTTAGAGTATTATTTGGTTAATTTTTTAGAATTATAAAAATAGTTATAAATTTATTATACCAAAATTATAAACTTAATTAGCTAAAATATTATTTGATTAATTTTTATCAAATATTTTAAAATTATGAAAATAGCTATAATTAAATAAAAAAATTATAAAGATTAGATAAATAAAAAAATTAACTAAATAATTTTTTAGCTAATTTAGTTAAATTATTATTATTTATTTTTTTTTTATAATTAAGGGTAAGGTGTACAAATTTCCAATTTCATATAAAATAGATTGTAGATCAACTTTGTGTAATGAATTTTATATGATATCAT